AATAAAATGTCCTAATTTCACAGGAGGCATTAAAGTATTTTAAGGCACAAGGTAACGACTACTTGTCATTTTATGCTTCTTCCTAAAGAGACCCTGTCCATAAAAAGATTGTTTTCATACAGCGTGCTCAGACTTCTGTGTTGCCGCCAAGAAACAAACCAAATCCTATCTACACTGTCTCCTTTTTTCAGACAGCAATTGAAACCATGACATATTTTTCAAAAGATTGTTTTTAATTCAAAATTCTTTTAAAGCTGCTTTTAAATTAACTGCTCTGGATTTTGCCCATGAAAATGCCTTGTACTTTTACCTACCATTTAAATACAATCTAGTGTTACTAAACCACTTCAGAACTAAGTAAGCAATTTGAAAATGTGTTTCAAAGAAGACGCAAGTAACCACAGCAAACAGGCACTACCATATACAGCAGAAGGGAACCTTTGATTCTTGTTCTTCCTCCTTGTTTTGTTCTCCTGTGGAGTTCTGGGCCGCAGGGTTTCTAGTAAATGCTGTAAGATATAATATTGGGGAGCTTTATAAAGTACTTAGCTTTTACAGAGTCTAATTTAAAGCTCAGTCCTGCTGCCATGTACATCAAAATCAATGAGAAAACTCTAAGTAAGTTATATAAAAGGTAGAATAGTAATAACTTTTTATTTGTGGTCTTTGTGGCCCACATCACATAAACACTTATGCCCAACAAAACTAAAGGGATGATTCATCTGTGTAAACATTGACATGGTTGGGGACAAAACGTACCATAAGTTATCTAATAGGAGGTGAATGAAAAGTTAGTTGTGGAGAGAAAAGGATAAGTCTCTATAGGACAAGAACATACATTATACCTAATTCTCAATTTGAACAAATATGTATGTAGATCTTCAACTTACAGTGGTATAAAAAACCCAATCTTTTAATTTATTATTGACTATTCAATGAGCAAGGGGTAAAGTGGAGAACGTGGTAGTTTACTTAAGCAGTAATGAGTTCTACCTATGACTAAGGGAAAAGTAAGAATTGCTGAAGTTGTGTATTTGCAGATGCAAACAGGAGGAGAAAGACTTCCAGAAGCTTGCACCTGAGAACAAAGTTTACTTAAGACATCTGAAAAGTTTACCTATCAGTCTATTAAACCAAATGTGATACCCCATACCTAGGGTATTATATGCAGACACTTGCACAAACATTTTTATTCATGTGAGGGGTGCTCAGTGGGGATTAATCATCTGAAGAAATGTACTTATGTACAATCACAGCTTAAAGCCAGAGTTTGTTTTCCAGTGCTGTATAAGCTGGTGCTGTATTGCTTTGTCTACGTTAAGTGAGTAATCATTTAGACTCGCTGAATGGATAGATAGAGGGATCACTGGAGCTACTGATCACTCAGTATGGTTTACTTAGAGACTATAGCCAACTCTGAGAAATTCTACCTGCTATACCTCCACCTTGCTTGCCATACACTAGTCGTCTGAAGAGAAGAAGCTTTAAAAAGGTGAAGGACCAAGAGGGAAGGGGCAGTAAGTATCCCTGTTAATTAAGGTCAATGTATTAAATAATTAAATGCAATTATAATTAAATATAAATTATTTAATACATTGGAAATTAAATAAATAAAGTAAACCAATCTTACAAAGAGCAAAATGGGGAAGCTAACCTCTGATATCAGACATTCAGAGAGGGTCATGACATATTAAAGAGGCCCATATATGAGATTATTTTTAAATGCTGATTTAATTTATCCTGCAAACTCTTGACAACCAATTGGGAAAAGACTGCTATCTGTTGAAGTCTAAAAAACAAACACCCACCTACCCCCTTTAATTCTGAGCTGGGAAGGCTGCTTATGTTATTTCATTTACTTCCCAGAATGAAAGGCCTGGTGTTACTAATCTAAAACCAACTGCGTAGAAAATAAATTTAGATATGGTAAAAAGGCCCCAAAAGTTCCTACTTGCTATTTATCTTACTGCTAAACCCTTAGATACAATCTCTCACAAGCATTAGATACTGGTTTAATCAAATCCCTGCTTTCTTTGGAGCTTTAGAACGATACATGACTTTCACTTAGTAAGTCAATTTTTGCATGTAGTGAAGTATGCCTCAGGCCTCTTTAACAAAAAATGAATGACAGCCTGATCCAATCACAGAAGCAAGGAATGATTCACCAGCCAGCTAAACTTTGCCTTATCCAGATTTCTTAAGCCCAGCAGGTTCAAGACTAGCCAGGACAAACTGTTCTTAACAAAGTTTGTTACCACCTTCTGAATTTGTAATTGACCAAAACAGATTCGTATCTTTTATTAGACTTAATTCTTAATTATATTCAGATTAAGGGTAATTGCACTACCAACTCAGTTAAGCTGAAATTAATCTTCCTACATATTTTGCAATTCCTCATTTTTTGTAAACAAGAATAATTTCAACACCAGTTACTTTCTGGGAAAGCTGTCCCATTTCCTGGATTTATTCTTTCAACTATCATCTTTACATAGGTGTTGGGAAATACATTTATAATTATGAATACTATTGTCCCAAGAACCATCAATGCATAAAAAAAAAAACAAAACAACACAGTATTTTAGTTCTCTTTGACCATGTTCTCTTTAATATGAACTCCAGAAGACTAGTGTTCCTTACTTTTTAAAGCCTCCCTGAAAGGGGTTACAAGAGTAAGAACGAGCTCCATAAAACTTCTATGTAATTAACATTGCAACAGGTGAGTCTTTAAATTAAACACAGAGGTACATAACAGGACAAGTTTAAAAGAAGGACAAGGTATAGGGATAGAATCCTTTACCTCTAGAAGTATGGCTTTAGGCAGGGGTGTCAAATACAAATGAGCTGGTGGGCTGGATACAGCTTCTTGTGGGCAGGCTGGCCTGCCCATTGATCCAGCCTGCAGGGCTTCTTGCTGCAGGTGCCAATAGGGCTTCAACAGTAGCAGCTTTAACTCCTTGGCTGCTAGCAGAACAGCAGCAGGAACTCTTTTGGAGCTGGGGCCAGAAACCCAACAGGTTTTAAGTTTAACACTTTTGGCCTCGGTCAATCAATACTTTCCCAAAAATCACTGCAGGTTGTTCAATGGTTTCTGTGCAACAGGATGATGGGAAAACAAGGATTTGACTGAGCAGGATAACAGAATTATGCCTTTCCCTGTCAGCTCCAGATTGTAGCAGTCCATGAAGTTTTGAGGACGACCTAACTACACATTCTTCCCCTTTTCTGCAATTCTCTTATAAACTTGATGATGTGAAAATAAAGTAACAGGATGCTTGATTATTGGTCAAGGATCATTGGTCAGTGCTGGTATTAAATCTTAAAAGTGATCTTTTGAGCATCCTAACCCAGATTCTAATGCCCAGATACAAATCAAAAACAACTTGTCACAATGTTATGCTTTGTGGCATGGAGAAACCCAAGTGAGCTGCTATAAAGGGAAAAAGTTTGACCACTGTGACATCAAAAGAACTGACAAGGGAAGAGCCTTCCAGTTTCTATAAATTAATAGGCCCCCAAAAGGAAAGCTGGCCCTGTGGAGGTGGAAGCATGGCTTTTCCAACCTCTTTTCAGTGGGGCAGTGCCTCAAACACTTAACCAATTTCCTCATTCACAACTCAAAAAAGCAAGGCGGAGCACTCAGAAAACAAAAGTGGATGCTTGCTCTTGTCTGAAGAGAGTTTAGTTGTCTCCCTTCAGTAACAGTGCAGCTGATCTAGATGAAGTTTCCCAGGAACTCACCTCCTTAACCCTGTTCTCCTTTGAGTTGCTCCCTTCTGAACTGAAAGGGCTTGGAGCTCTCTAGCAGGACTTCTGGTCCATGCCTAAGCAAAACCACAGGCACAGCTCGTTCTAAAGTGTTTCCAGAACAAGTGAGGCCTGGAAATCTCCCTCCAGTGAAGATAGTTACTTTGAGAAAAAGATAAGGTAGTCTGACAGGTTTACAAAAAACATTATTTACATTAGATGCATCAAAAAATATTTAGGATCTAGATGTTTTCTTCATGTTACTTTTCCTCTTTAAAAGCTCAGCATCTGCACACATTTTGGCTAATGGTTTCCTTTCAAGTGATAGTGTCCAGAAACTCCAGAAGTGTCCGAGATTTCAGTTGAAGAATAATCAGCTGTTGAGTTCTGCTCAAAGCCATTTGATTCATATGAGAAGCTTTAGGCTAGCCTCATTATGATCAACTCTACCATCACAAGTCCTGATTTCCACTTTAAGTGAGGAAATGGGCACCTTATTCTCCCTGTTGCTTGCACACAATAGAACTCTGTCCATTTTCACTGAGGCTATTTTTTCCTCAAAGAAGATTTGTGTTTTTAAGAAGTCACCCAATTTCTTTTGTAGACTTTCCTTGGTTTGAGACCAACATAGACTTGTACTTCGTTCCTTAGTGGAAATCTTGAATGGTCCTTCTCTGCATGAAAGTTGTGGAGATTCACCTCTCAAATACCTGCTTGCGATTACCTAGAAGTTTAAAGGTGGGGCGGGGAGGAGGAAAAACTATTTGCCGATTTTCTTTCTGCATATTTAAATACAATGAAACAGGAGAGAGAGAGAGTACATATGTACTCTTGTTGCTCACAATAACCCTTTTATACCTTCCTGAATGCAAGGGGGATTTCTTTACTGTTTTGCATGATGTGGCTACTAACAGCCAAACAGAAATACGATTGTTAAAGAGCTGCAGACACCCCTGGATGTCTCTTGGCCTTGAAATTAGATGCCCTCTGCCCCCTTTAGCGCATCAGAACAGAACTACCTCCCTGGCCAGAAAAGAGGAACCCACTTGATGCAATACAACAGAGGAGGGCAACCTGCCTAATGGAAGTGGCTAGAAAACATACAGCTTGTGGCTTTAGCCCTGTGACATGCCCAAGTTCATTCATAGTGGGGCTCATTAGTGATGGCCCCCATCAGCTCAGGCTTCCCTTGGTCTTGTCTGCTGATGGATACTATTTTCCTGTATCACGGCAGGCCTCCCATTGTGTGCATCACAACAGGCCTCCTTCACTTTGCTTCACTTCTCTGCTACAAGGTTGAGAGGGCACGCAGGGAAGCCTGGCAGCTTTTCCTGGATGCCACCAAAGAGCTACCTTCAGCCTTCATCTTCACAGCCTCAGTCCCGCCTGCCCCCCTGGCAGCAGCCCTCAACAGGCACCAGGCAGGAGGTTAGGCTGGCTTCCAGTTCCCAAGCATCCTGGATTGACCGGAGGATGCGATTCTCCCTCCTCAGCTGGGGTTGCCAGGTCAGGGCAGTGGCAGGAGCTGCTGCCAGGGGCCCCAGCTACTGGCCTTGCTGGGCAGCACGGCTGGGGGCACCGCCCTCAAACAATGCGGGGCTCTCAGCCAGCAGTGGGGCGTGTACCTTGCGCCTCTCCTTGAAGCGGCCTGAGCGTGACACATGCAGGTTCCTGCAGCTCCCACCACCACTGCCGGGCTTGTCTGCTGCCTTCGGCTCGCTGCTGCACTGGGGCGGCTGCTGGTCCCGTGGGTCCGGGCTGGATGGCACCAGGCTGGATGGCACCGGGGCCAGGCTGGGGGTCGGGCTGGGTAGTGGCTCCTGCTTGGCATTTTTCTTGCTGGTCAGTGCCTTCCACCAGGCCCCAGCAGAGGCACCCTGCACAGGGCTGTCAGCCATGGCACACGGGCAGAGGGCTCTGCAGGGAGGGACCAGGCTATGCCATGGGAGGTGCCAGCTCCGAAAGACCCCCCTGGGCTGGGGGGGTGCCCATGGCAGTGCGCTGGTAGATGCTGGCCAGAGTCCTGGGGTGGAAAAAAAGTCCATCATCATCATGGAGACAACTGGGTCCCGAACAAGTCATCTTGTCTGGCCAGGGAGCTGCAGTCTCTCTTCTTGCCCCCCTGTGCAGTCCTGCCCTTGCCACAGCTGGATCCTGCAGCTGCCATCCAGCAGCAGCCCCTCCTCGCCTTCCTCCACCTCCACCTCCACAAGCGGCTCATTGCCCAGGGGCACAAACACCTGTCTGCCTCTGCAGCTCCCTCAAGAGAGCTGCGGCTCTGCCCGGGCTGCCCAGGTGACGAGAGCTCGAGGGGGGGTCCCCCCACCCCCCTCCCAGCTGGG